CGAATTTTTTCACAGTTAGAATAGCAGTTTTCATAAAGTGAAGTGACTATTGCTGCTATTTTTTCTGTGTTTTTTGTGCAATCATATGATCGAAATGGTACGTTTTTGTATTGAATTTTTGGGTTGGTATTTTTGCTTGCTGTTTTCACGTCGACTTCAAACCACACGACAATTTTTTGAAACTTATAGTGTTTGGTTGAGTTTTTAAATAGAAAGGAAAGACCTTTGTTCGAAGTTTGAGTTATTGAAATACCAAAGCTCTCATCTTCTGTGCTCCATAAGTTTAATGTTTCGATGTTAGGAAAATAAGCAATCGTTTTCTTTGTTAATGGAATCGGGTTGTAATTGAACTTTTCCATGTTGTCTTGATATTTTTTGCTCACTAACTCTAAATTAACAAAGTCTTGTATGTCTTGAAAATATTCCGAGATGATTATCATATAGGTTACATTTAATCGATTCATTTGTATATTTCGAGTTTTAATTAAAGTTTAAAAATGAACATTAAGCTTAACACTGTCCAACTTTTTTAACATGTTGAAGTTTATTGGATGTTTTTTTAAAAAAAAGTTGTTCAAATAAAACACAACAAACGATTTTGTAAAACTTTAAAAACAAAATTTTTTCGAATAACATTTTAATTGGATAATTCCTAAATTTTAAAACAGAATTTACTGATAAAGTCATTAATTAATAATGGTCGATACTATATATTATAATATAATAAACCATTATTTTAAAATTGTTTTGTTGCATTTTTGAAATATCGTTAAATAGAAATCAGATTTGATTAATAAAAATTTTACAAAAAATAATAGTTTTTTTTGTATAACTTAAAAATATCAAACTTTCATTAAAAAATGGTCCCGGCGGGGATCGAACCCGCGACCCTCGCATATCTCTATTCTATAAGTACGATGCACTACCGACTGTGCTACGGGGCCTTTTCATTATTATTTTATATGCTTTTATTATTAACAAAAAGTACATAAAAATTATTACAAGATGAAAATAATTTATTCTGATCAATTATTAAATGTTTATAATAATAATTAATAACTTTATAATTATTTCAAATATAACAATTAACAACAAATAAAATTTATTGATACAAAAACAAAGTTGTTTAACTTAACACATTTTCGAAATGTTGTGATACATTAA